CCCGCCTCGGCCTCCCAGAGAGCTAGGATTACAGGTGTGAGCCACCGCGCCCGGCCTAGACAGCATCCGTTACAGCAACACTTACTAAGTATTTACTATAGCTGGGCACTGTTCTAAGTGCCTTAAATCTATTAACTAATTAAGTCCTTAGAGCCCTATAAGCTAAGTGGAATTATTATCTCTATTTTACAGATGAAGAAAGTTTTCATATTCTCACACTTGGTATAAAGTAAGGACTCGAACCCAGGAAATCTGGCTTCAATACACAATACCATTTTACATTTATTTCCAATCTGTCTCTACCAGTCCATTTCTTTGGAGCTCCCTTATCAGCATGCTCCCTCCTTAAAAGCAACCAAGCAGTGCTCATATCTACCTGGTAGGCAAACCTAAACAACTACTCCTCTCCTCCTTTCCTAGACCTATCCAGCACAGGATCATCGGCAAGCAGAAAGGGGGAGCGGGGCTAAAATAGCCAGGCTGAATTTGGCCCACGAGCACTTCAGTTTCCCCTCCGGTAACTTGGGTAATTTCTGAAATTAGATTTCAAAGCTAAGTGCTTTACAATTTTTAACATACACACATGCGCACACGCACACATACAGCTTGCATACTTACATTAAAAGAACTATTTCAATAGTTACTGAAGGGTATAAACTGAAAAACAAGTCTTTCTCCCTAATGTTATAATTATATATTATGTTTATAATTATGGTTAGCATTGTAACTTTAAATTTATACCTCTATTTTCTGATTTATCAACTTTAGACTACATTTATCTTTTGAGTCCCAAGTATAGAAGATGAGGAGCATACTTACCTTTCCATTAATCTTTTCTTCCCTTGTCATCAACCCATTTTTGTTATACTATTTTTCCACTGTCAAAGTTTACAACTTGCATTCTATCATTCTCATATGCTTTGTCTTTGGAAGATTCTAAAGTTTATAAACTAATAAACAGTATTTACAATATTATGATTATGTACATATATTTTACTGGAGAAGTAAGCATGGAGGGACCCATAGAAAGGAAAATATTCCATGTAGACTACCACTGGTAGTTTACAGAGCTAGTAATCTAATAGACCACAAAAATGAGCCAAAGAATCAAACAAGCACCTAATGACATTTACTGAGCATTTACTATGTGGCGGGCACGTGCTAAGCATTGTACATACATTGCCTTATTTAATCTTTGAAACAACCATATAAGGAAGAATTATATTAGCCCAACTTTCCAAGTAGTAATGAAGGCTAAGGTTACACACCTGGGCAAGTGCCCGGGTCAGCTCATACAGAGCAGAGCAAGGAAGTGAATCCAGTTAAAGCTCCAGGGCCTCAACTCTTCACCACTATAATGCTGGCTCATACTAACTATTCTTTCACTTTCCTTTTCCTGACAATGTCTAATTAATGCCCTTAATAATGGAAGGAATGTGTTATTTACAGAGATTAAAATTATTCTGTCTAGATATTAAACTTGTTTTGAACTATATGTTCTCTTCCAAATCTTTTTAAACTATTAAAATGACACAATATTCAGCCTTTCTGCTCACCAAATCTGGGAAACATTAAAGACTATGCTTTATGGATAGATTTTACAATAAAGTATACAGAAGTAAGGGTGTGAGTCTCAGTGTGACTTTTCCTGTTGAAATATTAAAAACCACAAAATAGAAAAAGCAGTAGTCCAATATAGAGAAATTCTTTAAAACTCAGAAATGAAACATTAAAAACGAAAATTCCTTGAGGATACAGTTATTTCTTTGTTCTATCTTTGATTATATTTTTCAATTCAGGATAAATTACAGGATTATCGAATTACCCAGTATGATGCTGGCTCTTGTTACATTATATACAGTATGTAGTGATACAGTGAACCAGTTTCATTCCAACTTATCTTCAACTGCATTTCTGAAATTTACAGGTGAAGAGAACCTCATTTACAGGGCAACTCTCTCATGATTTCAAGCACAATTACAGTACCGTCCTTGCCAAGGCACTGAAATACTAAATTCATTCAAAAATGAAACTATCATGGACCAGATGTAAATAAGGCTCTCCTGATACTAAATTCTCAATGGCAAGAGGTCAAGGGTCTGGCTTATAATCATAACCTAAATCTTGACATCATCTCACTTCAGCAAAATATAACTGCTATATTGAGTAACTGATAATTTGTTCAGGTTTCATTCCACTAAAGCTGTTCCTTCAGTTAACAACTAGTACACAGTACTTCAATTACAATCCAGAACGAGCATTTAAACTACAGGAATTTTCAAATAGCTGCGGGTTAAAAGGGGATGCCAGTTTCAAGTGCAGCTCTAGAATGGGTGCCTCTCAATCCTATCTACCAGTTTTCCAAAGATGTCTTGAACTCTGTAGATACTTGTAAATTGGCACTTTTCATTTTTCTTTTTATCCGTTTGTTTACGTATCTGTCACTCCCTTTAAGGTGTGAACTTCAGTATGGGAGAGGGTGTGACACTCATCTTTGTATCTCCTAGAACCAGCAGTGTCTGGCACATAGTAGGCTCTCAATGCCTGTGTGGAATTAACCACAGGACAAGGCAGTCCATACTGCAAAGGAAAACGGAGAGGGGGCATTTTAGTTGGGAGGTTAAGGAATCAATTACCCTTAGAGAAGAACAGACCCTGGGCCAATCCAGGACAGAATGCAACAATTGAAGGGGCCTCAGGAAGCCGGAGTCAGGCATTATAGCCCTATCTTGCTAACTATTGTGTGCAGGCAGTGAGGCCGCTCGCCCTGAAGAGAGCCAGATTTCAGCTTTCAGGCCCCCGGTCCCTACCTCCAGAGAAGGGTGGGAGCACCATGGGACTCAACCCAGCTCCGGCCCTGCTTCAGCCCCAGACTAAACTCCGGCCGCGTCTGCTTGCTCCAGGCCGTACCATGACAGGGCAATTCAGGTGGACCATAGGCGGACGTGGTTCACTCACCTACTTGGTAGAGCCGGCCCTCGGGTGAAAAAATGGTAATGTGGCGATCAAAACCGGCGCTGGAACCACGGGACATATTGGTACACCACTTCTACACAGTATCTGGGCCCCGTAGCTCCCGCACAACGCGTACAAACCCCTCCCGGAAGTTGCAGCGACTGCTTCCGGGGCACTGTCCGGCTTTCTTCCGCTCTCGCACGCGAAATTCACGGCTCTCTAGCCCCTTTGAGCGCGGAGAAAGCGTCGAGGCCCCGCCCCTGATGGGAGCATGGGAGCAAGGGCGGATGTCTTCGCTGTGCGCATGCGCCAGGCAACGGCTTGCTTATAGCCGGGGAGACTGGGGTCATGGCGGTTTATGGTTTTCATCGTGAGAGTGAATTGCCTATAGCAAGGAGGGAAAAGGCTTCCTGGGGGCCCAGAGTAGTGATTTGCCTATCGATGTGACCTAAGTAGACCGTCTCTCGTTAGTTTTGACACCTTGCAGCCATTCTGTGTCTGGTTAGACTGCTGGTTTGCTTTCTTCCTAACCTCCTTCCCTGACACTTTCCTTCCTACTTTGGAGGGAGATAGATTGCAGGTGCACTAAGTAGCAGCAGCCGCTAAATTTAGGCACTGAAGGGACCGGATTCAAGTAGCCACTGGAAAGAACAGAATTTTCTTCTAGTTGGGCAATATTTTCCTTTGGCCAGCAGCCCCGACAATTTTTACTCTTAAAAGTGGAACTGAGGTTAAAATATGGGTGATGGGGGAATCCCGAGGTTAAGCGGCTTTGATTGATAAATAAGAGCCAAAGGGGTTGGGCTTATAGCAAGCTAGTGTTGGACGGATTAGTGAGAGTAATCCAAGCAGGCGAGGTAGCTCCGGGAGAACAGCAGGTGGCTTTTCAAATTGTAAAACTGTGCCTATTTTGACTTTACCCCTAGGCACACTCCTGTTTATTGAATATAAAATGCAAAACATGATATTAAACCTCCCGAGGTTTGTGCACCAGGAAGGCCAGATACACCAAGTTTTGTGGTCACTTTAATTCCTGCTGTAAATACTGAAGGAGGGATTCTTAATCTCTTTAATGTAGTTTCTCCTAAACTTTCCATTTTGAAGAAAAAAATTTGTAAGACCCTCATAAGGAAATTTAATATCTCGAGTGTTTTTAAAAAATAAATTTCTATTAACCTGAAAAATAAAATCCCAGACTGAAACATGGCTAAGAAAACAGTAAATGCAAACAGATCTCTGGTACACAGGGTACTTTCCATCGCTGGCTAATTCCGAAGTATACTGATAAAAGTTGTCCTTTACTTCTGGTTCAGGTCCCTACACTCAGGACCAACTTGTCTTGACCTTTTGAGTACTTTTGTTTTCTCAGACTTTGAGAGAGCCTGGTGTACTGTAATTCCTACAGTTTGCCTGAGTGGTCATAGATAAAAAGTTCTTAGCAAGGCTGCTAGGAGGATGAACTCAGTTCCATAGCCTGAACAGCCAGCTACACTGATGTCTCTCAAAGTTAGTTGTCTAGCTGGCCCCTTCTCTGGAGCTTATTCTTCTCTAATTGCCTATGGGATGTTCTCATACTGAGAAACATAACAACTCAAAACTCAACATGTTCAAAACAGAACTCCTTATCTCTTCCCTCTCAAGCCAATTCCTGCCCCTTGTATCATGCTTTCCAGGTCCTCAGAGCCAAAACCTTGTAGCAGTCTTAATTCCTTAACACTTCCCCACTCTGCCTCCATACACTCTTGATCTCCCTTATTCTGCTCACTTTGTTCACTGTTTATTGTCTCCCCTCACCCCCAATCTAAGCTCTGTGAGGGCAAGGATCTTCGTTTTGTTCAATGATATAACTCAGGCAACTTGAATAACTTCTCACATATATTAAGTGCTCAATTAATATTAGTTGAATGAATGAATCCCTTATAGCATAGGAGTTAGAGTGCATCCCTTTCTATTTAAACCTGAATTTAAATTCCATCTGTGACAGTTACTAGATCTGTGGACCCTATGCAGCCTCCCTAAGTCTGGATTCCCTTATCTGTTAAATTTGGAGAATAAGATATACTTTATGGGGGCCATTGTGAAGATTAAATGAGAAAAGGCAAAGAAGTTCTAAACAAAGTACTTAGCATATAATAAGCACTTATCAAATGGTGGCTGTTTTATTATTGTTGCCTTTCTATTTGGTGAGTTACTGAATGCTGTTGATTATTCCTATGGAATTATTCTGCCTGCCTGCTTTTCATTCTCGTTTTCACTGTCCAAATTTAGACCCTTTTTACATTTACTCTGGCACAGTAGAGTCTCTTCTTGTGGAAACATCTTTTTAGAGCAAGATCCCATTAGATTGCTTCTCTGCCTAGATTCCTTTGGGCTCCTCACTACTGAATAAAATCTAGTCTCTAGGTTAGTGTTGAAGCTGTCTACAAGTTGACCTCTACCTATCTTTTCCAACTTCCCTTCTACTTCATCCTCCTATTTTTATTCAAAGGCTACATTCCACAGCACTGCTTGGATCTGCACTGCCTGATCACACCTCAAACTCCTCCATACCCTTATCTCTCTTGTAAGGACCACCACATTCCCATCTCCTCTCCTAAGAAGCTCAAATCTGCTAGTCTATCTCTTTCTCCCCTATATGTCCATTGCATATAATTTGAATCTTTTATTAACCCGAACCAAAGGAAATGGCCATTTTGTAGGTCAAATATTGGCAATTAAATGCTTTAACTTAAAGAATTATGTGTCTGGGCTTCACCAAAGATTGGCAGGGCAGAGGCAGGGTACTTTTCATCTCTGTACTCTCCATTACCCCACGCCCATGGCTTGCCTCATACGAGTTCAATAAATAACTGTTAAGTGGAACTGAAAACTGTAGAAAGAAAGGGAACAACTGAGGAATGTTTTCATAGCTGCAAGCCTTTGCTTCCCATATAGACATGGCTCTGAATGTTCACTGCCTTGCAGTAGATGAGGTATTTCAAATCACACGCAATGCAGGCTGTGAGAATTATTTCACACATTCAAACAAATCTTGACCCCTTCTTGAAGTTGCATTTAAGGTGGGCCCTGAAGGAGGCATGGGATTTTAGGATGGTATGTGTGTGTGTGTGTGTGTATACATATATATATATATTTTTTTTGAGACAGAGTCTCGCTTTGTTGCCTGGGCTAGAGTGCCATGGCGTCAGCTTAGCTCACAGCAACCTCAAACTCCTGGGCTCAAGCAATCCTCCTGCCTCCACCTCCCAAGTAGCTGGGACTAGAGGCATGCGCCACCATGCCCGGCTAATTTTTTCTATTTTTAGTATTGCTATTTTAAGAGATGGGGGTCTTGCTCTTGCTCACGTTGGTCTTGAACTCCTGATCGCAAGCCATCCTCCCTCGTCAGCCCCCCAGAGTGCTAGGATTACAGGCATGAGCCATCATGCCTGGCCTTAGCATGGTATATACATTTTAATATTCTTAAGGATACCTCCTGGAAGGAATCGACTTTATTTTCCATACGAACATAAATTGAAAGCTAGAATTAGAACCTCAGGCTCCTTGAGGGCTATGGCCACATTTGCTTTGCTCACCAGTGTATCAATACCAAATGGTTCCTAGTATGAAATAAACACTCAGCATTCATTAAATGTGCATTCTATTTGGGTTTCCTATTTATGCTGGATTGTTTTTCTTTATTAGAAAAGATTTGTGGCTGGGCTTGGTGGCTTATATCTGTAACCCTAGCACTTTGGGAGGCCAAGATAGGAGGATTGCTTGAGACCAGCCTGAGCAACATAGCAAGACCCTATTTCTACAAAAAAAAAAAAAAAAAAAAAAGATTTGTGATTAAATGAGAAATCCGAATTCAATCCCCTAAAAGTTCAGAGATTTTACATTAGAATTTGAGATTTTTCCACATAGGCAAATGAATTCCTCTGGGAATCTTTCAGAAAGACAAAACCCTTGCTGATTCCATTATAATGGGAAATCCCCTGGCAGCAGGCTTCATGAATATGTGCCATTGGGTGCCAGGCAGCAGCTAAACTACTCACCCAGATGGACTTTCCCCTGAGTTGGGGAGCTTTCACGAAAGTCTGGGTACCAACACTCCAGTAGCTTTAACACAAGCCTGTGGGGCAGAATTGCTATGTCTGTGTGGAAACTTTGATCTTCCTCTCTGTGGGGCCACCAAGTTAGACTTTTTGAAATGACTTTCTGGTTTTTTGAAAAGTTTTAGAGATGACTTGACATCTCATGAGTCTTGGAAAATCTCCTGGGGGCCTCCGTTTGGCAAGGCCCACATTCTCCCCTGGGGGTGGAGGTAGGTGGAAGGTAGGGGGTACCCACCGGGCAAAGGTATGAAGTGGCAGCGTAGATTCCCAGTGACTGAAAACATCCTGCATCACATGGCGTTTGAAGGCAAGATAAGAATTTAGCTCCTGGCTTAAGATGCTCTGTTGGCAGTTTCAGTGAGGCAAGGAATAGAAAAATGAACCCTGTGTTTCTTTTCCATATGATATCAGCAGGAGTTGAAACACAATGCTCTGTGAATGGGCCACTGGTAATAGAGTATCTCAGGACAGTTGGGATTTCCTGATGTTAAGAGGCCCCAGAGGGCAGCTTTGGCAAGGACAGAGCTAGGGATGTAGCAGCCCTGGGAAACAGTGAGAGGGAGGTAGGGCTCTGCCCAGCTCTCTGGCCAGACATTCACCAATCCAGAACTTCCTCAGAGGACTTGCTGAGGGCAAGAACCTGGTTCTATTTGTATCTTTCCTTTTTTTTTTTTCAGACAGGGTCTTGCTCTGTTGCCTGGGCTAGAGTGCAGTGGCATCGCTTTTGGGCTCAAGTGATCCTCCTGCCTCAGCCTCCCAAGTAGCTGGCACTAGTAGGCATGCCACCATGCCTGGCTGATGTTTCTGTTTTTTTGTAGAGATGGGGGGGGGTCTCATTATGTTCCTCAGGCTGGTCTCGAACTCCTGGTCTCAAGTGATCCTCCTGCCTTGGCCTCCCAAAGTGCTGGGATTACAGGTGTGAGCCATCCAGCCTGGCACATTCTTTTGTTTTTTTTCTCAGACCAATCTCAGTCCTGTATTTCTTCCTGCACCCTAGTAGCTATGGTTGCTACCAAGGACCTCAGTCATTTTGGATGAGTCTTGGGGAAGGAGAAAAGGGCGATTTCTCTATATTCTAGTTATATCATTTATGGGTAAAGAAGGGACAAATGGGGCACCAAATGTGGGATGCAGTGTGACTTCTGTGACTTACACGAGGCAAATTGGTCA